GGAGGAGGAGGAGGAAAAGGAGCAAGGAGGAGCGAGGAGGAGGAGGAGGCGAAGGAGGAGGAGGCGGACGAGGAGGAGGAGGATGAGGGAGGAGGAGGAGGAGGAGGAGGAGGAGGAGGAGGAGGAGGAGGAGGAGGAGGAGGAGGAGGAGGGGGAGGCGGAGGAGGAGGAGGAGGAGGAGGAGGAGAACGTGAACCCAGGATGCATCAACGTTGCTGCCAAACACCCTCGCGTCACAAGGCTCCTCCTCGTAAGTCCCTATGTAGACCCCCGCAACCTCGTGAGGGTTTGTCTCGGTGAGACTCGCAAGGGCCGCGAGAACTTGGCTCGGATCCAGAAGGGTATGCGTCCAAGTCGGCGGACCCTATCGGCGGCGGCGGCGGCCTGCGACGAGGGCAGGGTGAGGCGTGAGGAGGCCCTCCGCCCTCTCAAGGCCCACACGGTCAGGAAGTTTGGCTTAGCGTGTTTTCCTCAGCCTTCAATTGTGCGCTCTCGACCCGCGAACCAACAAAAAAAAGTGCTTTCCTCAGCCTCCTGCTCTGGCGTGGCGTGTTTTCCTCAGCCTCCTGCTCTGCGGAGCGGAGCGACACGCCATCCGCTCGCAAGGCATGGCGTGTCGCTGGGGCTGCCGCCCCGACACGCCAAGCAAGAGTTCCCGTCCGCAGGTCCCTGCAAGTGGCCCGCGCCCTCCGTGAGGACGAGCGTTTCGTGGGCCTGCCATTCGAGCCAGAGCCCTGTTCTGAGAGGGATCCGCCTTGTGTCCCGTAGCCAGAAGACATGAAGGGAGGACGGGTCATAAAGTTTAAGGTGGTGTCCTGCGAGAGCCCCGTTTTTTAGAGGAGCGTTCTTCCATCCGTTTCTATGTGTCAGCGGTTATTGTTTGAAGCGGTAGCCCCAGTTTGAAAAGATCTGTCATCCATTCATATGTGTAGGTGCTCCTCGATTTGCGCCCTCTGGCAGTTAAATCGCGGCATGTCTTAAGCGAGAGCCTTATTCGTCCTCCATCCAGGGGGTTGTTGAACAAGTTGTAAGAAAAATGCGTACGGGATGAATGCGAGAACCATACATAGGAAAGCGTTCCCCTTCCATCCGTGAAAAAATCTTGGGACATCCAAGACGCACGTGCGCGGCGCTGAGGCGATGTCCGCACTTTGAAATCCATGCGCCTTCCATCTGTTCAGCGGCTATATGCGAAACTTCCAAGACGGGTGCGCGCGGCGCCGAGGCGATGGCCACACTTTGAGATCCCTGCGCCCTCCATCTGCGCAGCGGCTATCCCAGGGACTTCCAAGACGAGTGTGCGCTGCGCGGAGGCGAGAGCCGCACATTTTGAGCATGGCCCGCCCTGCGGCCGTGCAGCTGCTGGAACAACTTCCGGCCTCAAGACGGCAAACTGTGAGCAGGGAGTCCCGCCACCCGCCAAACCACCCCAACCCAATCCGAAGGCCCCAATCTGCCCTCCATTCCCAGCGGCGGGGGGGGCGTCGGGGAGCGTTGACAAAAACACGTGAGGAACCCGTACCCCCCCAACCCGAAATTTGGGTCTTCGGGTTGGCTTGGGGTGGCCTGGTAGGTACAGTCAACGCGCCTGGTAAGGACGCGCGCATTCATCTAGGATACCCTTGCGTCCTTGCCTCTGTGGCCCGTCCTTTGCCGTTATCACTGGTCGCCCGCCGCCCCCAAAAATCCCAACGTCGGCCTCCAAGGGTCTTGGGTCCTTACCACGCGTCCTTACTATACGTTTTGACGGTAGTCAGCATCTGAGGCAGTACGCCTGGCCCGCGGGGCGAGAGCGAACCTCTTCCGCTAAAAGCTAGGCGGGCTACGCCGCGTTGACAAAACACGTGAGGAACCCGTACCCCCCCAACCCGAAATTTGGGTCTTCGGGTTGGCTTGGGGTGGCCTGGTAGGTACAGTCAACGCGCCTGGTAAGGACGCGCGCATTCATCTAGGATACCCTTGCGTCCTTGCCTCTGTGGCCCGTCCTTTGCCGTTATCACTGGTCGCCCGCCGCCCCCAAAAATCCCAACGTCGGCCTCCAAGGGTCTTGGGTCCTTACCACGCGTCCTTACTATACGTTTTGACGGTAGTCAGCATCTGAGGCAGTACGCCTGGCCCGCGGGGCGAGAGCGAACCTCTTCCGCTAAAAGCTAGGCGGGCTACGCCGCGTTGACAAAACACGTGAGGAACCCGTACCCCCCCAACCCGAAATTTGGGTCTTCGGGTTGGCTTGGGGTGGCCTGGTAGGTACAGTCAACGCGCCTAGTAAGGACGCGCGCCTTCATCTAGGATACCCTTGTGTCCTTGCCTCTGAGGCTCGTCCTTGCCGTTATCACTGGTCGCCCGCCGCCCCCAAAAAACCCAACTTCGGCCTCCAAGGGTCCTGCGTCCTTGCCACGCGTCCCTACTATACGTTTTCACTGTAGTCAGCATGTGAGGCAGTACGCCTGGCCCGCCCGGCACCACGGGCGTTGGGACCCCCCCCCCCGACGCCGAGCGAAGGCCCCCGGAGGCACCGCAGGACGCACGGATGCCGCCGTGCCCCGCCCAGGCCAGTGGACGCGCGGGGCCGACCGCCAGGCCGCTGCGCGCTCGTGGACGCGCGGGTCCGGGGACACACCGACAGGAAGTCGCCACCCACCAAACCACCCCAACCCAACCCGAAGGCCCAAATTGATCCTCGATTTCCAGTGGGGGGGGGTCGGGAGACACTGAAAAAACAAACGGAACCCGTACCCCCCCCCCCAACCCGAAGTTCGAGTCAAATTCGGGCCTTCGGGTTGGGTTGGGGTGGTCTGGTAGGTAGTCAGGAAGCTTTTGATGAGGGCTTGCACCTCTGGGGAGGGCCCCCTCCTGGATCATGATTCCTGGGACGACTAGTTTGGGCCAGCCTCTCTTGGAGAGTCATTCGCCAGGCAGCAGACGGGCCCTGAGGGAAACAGGTCCTGAGGTTTTTGGCCCTTCTCGGGCTCCCGGAGCCCTCCACCGGCCCCAGAACGGTCAGAAAACAACCCAGGACGAAGAGCTGGTCCTGGGAGAAGGCCTTGGGGTCTAGGACCCGTTTCCCTCAGGACCCGCTTCTTTCACGCCAATCTAACAAACCTGGTTCTGCCCCTGGCTTGGCCTGGTTCGGCTTGGCTGACGACGCGCTCAGCCTGAGACGTCTTCACAGTCTGCCCGGTTTGGCCCCTGGTTCGGCCTGGTTTTGGGCCGGTTTCGCTTGAGAAGTTCTCGCAATTCGCTTACTTTGGGGCCGATTTCGCTGGCGAGGTCCTCGTAATTTGCTTGGTGAGGGCCCTGGCTTGGAGCCAACTTTATTGAAGAGGTCCGTGCAATTTGCTTAGAGAGGGGCCTGGTTTGCGGCTGGCTTAAGAGGTCATCGCGCGTCGCTTATGGCGTCTTCTCTGCCTGGATTGGGCCTTCATCTGGCCTGGCGGGAGCTGGCAGTCCGAATCCAGTGTGCTTTGTCACACTGCGTATGATCCAATGAATCGCTTCTGCATTCTGCACGGGGCGTCTGCCGACAGTCCAGACGCTGTTGCGCAAACGCCAAGCACTCCGCTGCGCTCCACGTCCTGCAACCGCGGACTCACGCGCGCGTCGGCGAGGAGGAGGAGGAGGAGGAGGAGGAGGAGGAGAGGAGGAGGAGGAGGAGGAGGAGGGAGGAGGAGGAGGAGGCGGAGGAGGAGGAGGAGGAGGAGGAGGAGGAAGCACGCCGCAGGCTCGAGAGCGCCTGCTGACCCTCCCCGGGTTCCAACCTCCGTCGGTCTGCCCCAACACTGCTCGCCGCGCCATGCCGCAGCGCCCCGCCGCCGTCCTCTGCGCCGCCCTCGCGGGCGCCGCCGCCCTCGGCGAGGCCCGCCGCGTGGTGGCGGGCGCCGAGGCCTACGCCGCCGCCGAGGTGGGCCTGGCGGGGAACCAACCGGGAGGCTCTCCAGGCAGCCCTGCGTCGCCCGCGGCTCGCTCTGGCCACGCCCTCGGAGAGTTTCGGTCGATCTTGGGGCGCTTCGGGAGGCGGCCTGGAGTCAGAGGAGAGGAAGGTGCCAGTACCGTTACCCTTGCCTCGGTTTCCCCTTTTGGGGCCTGCTGGGAGGCCCTCGTCGCCACCGCTTGACGCGCCTCGGAGTCTTAGTCAGAACGCACCCCGGGAGAGTTCCTGGGAGTAGCGGTATCGGTATCTTTCGGTTTCCGCGTTGAGGACATCTCGGCGGCCTCTATGGGTCGGGGTCTCTTGGGGGTATCCTGGGCAATATCAGGAGCTCTTGGCGCCCCTCGGGGGCCCTCTTGGGGCTCTCTTCGGGCCATATTTGCGGTCTTTGGACCCTTTGGGCTACATGCTTAGATTGGGTCTGCATGGGGTGCCTGTTTGAGGCCGTGTGAAGGCACCTGAGGCCTATTAGAACCTGAGATGGCGAGAGCGCCCGCATCATATCATTATGGCATCTCATGGGCCACCTTGGAAGCAATATTGGGCAATCTCGGAGCCAGGTCGGACTGTATTCGGCCGTCCTTGCTTCTGTCTAGGGCCATCTTGGAGGCTTGTTGGCAATCTGGGGCGGTCCTGTTTTTTCCCCGCAGGCAGCTAGGGCTATGTCGGAGGCATTATTGGGGGTCTTTGCGCCTTAAGGCCCATCATAATCCGGACCGTCTTCCGGACCTTGAGGCTTGTAATAATGTGAGAAAGCGAGGAAGTGATGTCTTGGAGGCCTCTCGGGCGCATCTTGGACCGTATCGGAGGCCGTTTGGGGAACTCTTTGGGCCATCGTGGTGCTTTTTGGGGTCTTGCTGGGGCATCTTGGGCCCTCCTCGAGTCAATCTTGGGCCATACATCCCCAGGCCGAAAGTTTTTTTCAGTTGGGCTAAACATATGAGGACACCGATGGATCCAATTGGATCCCTTTTCGTGTGTGCGACAGTGTCGTGGATCCTATTTCTGTCTTGCACGGATCCAATTCCCCGTGTGTGAAAGACCAATGGATCCATGTATTTTCCGAGGAGCAATCAGGGAGGAGGGGGGGAGGGAGGAAGTAAGAGGAGGAGGAGGAGGAGGAGGAGGAGGAGGAGGAGGAGGAGGAGGAAGGAGGAACGCGGAAGGAGGAAAGAGGAGGGAGGAGGTGGTGAGGGGAGGAGGGGGGAGGTGGGAGGAGGAGGGAAGAGGGAGGACGGGGAGCATGAGGACACACAAGCAAAGTGTCAAGATCGGAAGCTCGAGCACCACATCGGGCCCGGCCACCTCCCTCAACTCCTCCCGTAACATGTGGTTGCTCGAGCGCCACAGCGGGCCTTGCCATCTCCCGAACATCCTCCCATAACATAAGGAGGTTGCTCGAATGCCACAGTGGGCCCAGCCAACTCCCGCATCACCTCCCATAACAGATGGCACGCCCCAAGCCGAAGAGAGCGCTACATGTGTCCGCTCACCTGAACGGCACGTCGCTTCTGACATTTGGGGCTCAAGAGGAAAATCTTTCGGCTTGCGTAATTTCTGAGGCCATCCGGTGGTCTCTGAGGCCCATCAGAGCCGAAAGGGCGAAAGCGCCAACATCACAGAAGCACGCTCAGCTTTATCGGATTCTGCTCCGCATGTGCATCCATGTAGGCCATATTGAGCCATCTGGGCCGATCGGGGGCCGTATGGGGGGCCCCTCTTTGGATCTTTTTGGGCAATCTTGGAGTAGGCTGAAGGCCGTATTTGGATCGTATTGCGACAGTTTTGGGCCGTCTTGGAACGGGGAACGGTCACCAGTCCTCTTGGCCAATTCCGTGCGCCATCTTGACGGCTAGAGCGGAGGAGGATGAGGATGAGGCGGAGTAGGAGGAGGAGGAGAAGGAGGAGGAGAGAGAGGGAGGGAGAAGGGGAGAGTTGAGGGAGAGGGAGGGAGCAGGAGGGAGAGAGAGGGAGGGAGGGAGGAGGGAGAGAGAGAGGGAGAGAGGGAGGAGCAGAGGGATAGGCTGAGATGGCGAGAGAGGAGAGGAGAGGAGGAGGAGGAGGAGGAGGAGGAGGAGGAGGAGAGGAGGAGGAGGGGAGGGGGGGAAGAGGAAGAGGATAATGAGGAGGAGAATGAGGAGGAGGATGAGGAGGAATCTGAGAAGAAAGAACAAGGGCAGGAGAGGAGCAGGACCGTCTCTTTACTCTCTCCTCGTCTTCCTCGTTCTCATCTCCTGCTCCTTCCCTCCTCCTGCTCCTACTCCTGCTCCTGCTCCTGCTCCTCCTCTCCTCCTCCTCCTCCTCCTCCTCCTCCTCCTCCTCCTCCTCTCTCCCCCCTCGGCGACCTTAACAGAGGGGGGGCAGGATTTGTTGTCTTGACGCTGGGGTGGGAATGCGGTCATTTGTGGTATTCTGGTTCGCCTCTGGTCGGCCCCGCTGTGCGCTGTCGGGGTAGCCATCTTGAAGGGCAGAGAATTCCACGGTGTGGCCTGTTGTTTTCATCTGCCTCACCTTCTCGGATCGTCTTCCTTCCCTTGTCCGCCCTTCCCTTGCTGGCCAGCTTCGCTCCTCCCCCCCTCATCCCTCTGGCGGCGGCGACGCCGACGGACAACCCTTGGCATCGCTCGGACGTGTGCATTTTTCCTTCGGCGAGGACCATCGAGGAGCATCCTTGATCATTTGGCGAAAAAACCACGCACGAAACCGAAAAAGACACAGGGAATGGACGGCCGAGCGATGGCGAGAACCCTCCCGGAGGAGGCCCGCCCGCTGGCGAACAGCACGCCGGAGGCGCTCCCCCGCGCGGGCTCGCTGCTGCAGGGCGCGGCCCTGCCCCTGGGCCCGCAGGGCTGGCCCGCGCTCGAGGGCGAGGCCCGTCGGTAACTCGGTCGGTGGGTCGATCGATCGCTCGGGAGTGTTCCTCCGCGATCGATCGATCGATCGATCGGTGAAGGACCAGGGGGGGTGGGGGAGAAGCAGGATGGGGTGGCGGAGAAGGAGGAGGCGCGGAGGAGGGGGAGGAGGACGAGGGGAATCGGGAGCGGGAGAGGGAGGGCGAGAAGGAGGAGGAAGAGGAGGAGATCCTTGGGGTGCTCCACTTCGGCGGATGGATGCATGGATCGATCGATCGATTGCTCGATCGATCGATCGGTCTCTCCTCCTCCTCCCTCTCTCCTCTCCTCCTCTCCTCCTCCTCCTTCTCCTCCTCCTCCTCCCTCCTCCTCCTCCTCCTCCTCTCCTCCTCCTCCTCTCCTCCTCCTCCTCCTCCTCCCCTCCTCCTCCTTCATCGTCTCCTGTTCCTCGTTCTCCTCCTCCTCTCGTTTCCTCCTTTTGTCCTCCGCCTTCTTCTTCTTCGACGGTCGACGGAGGAGGAGGAGGAGGAGGAGGGGAATCCCTTCCCCTGCTCAGCCTCCCTCCTCCCTCCTCCTCCTCCTCCTCCTCCTCCTCCTCTCATCGTTCTCCTGTTCCTCGTTCTCCTCCTCCTCCTCGTTCTCCTCCTGTTTGTCCTCCTCCTCCTTTCTTCTTCGATCGGTCGACGAGGAGGAGGAGGAGGAGGGGAATCCTTCCCCTGCTCAGCCTTCTCCTCCTCCTCCTGCCCCTGGTCTCCTCCCCCTCTCTTCCCATCCTCCTCGTCATTCTCCTCCTCCTCCCCCTCTGCCTCCGCCTCCTCCTCCTCCTCCTCCTCCTCCTCCTCCATCCTCTTTCTTTATGAATGGCGCTTCCCTCTTGCACACCCACACGTGTCGGTAGGGCTGGCCAGGCGTTTCGCTTGAAACGTCTTTTCCATCGACGGTACTGAAGCTTGAAGTTCGCAACAGTCGCACCGATGCAGGGCGGGTCGTTTTCAAAGTGTGATTATCGCTTTTGCGCCCCTCCCAGCATCTGCAACAATTTCATGGATGAAGGGGGGTCGTTTTCAAAGTAGGGCTCGTGCCTTGGCGCCGTGCGCATTCGCCACACATTGTTGCAACAGCTTCACTCGTGTAGGGGGGCAATTTTCAAAGCGGGGCTCTCGCCCCAGCGCAGGGCACACCGTGTAATGGTTGGGGGGGCAGTTTTAAACATGTGGCCCTCGCCTTCGCGCCAAGCACATTCGTTTTTGAAACGGATGGCAGGGCGGGGCGTTCTCGAAATGGGGTTCTCGCCTTTGCGTCGCGCACATTCGTGCTTACCTTTTCAAACAGCTTCATGGATGGAGGGCGGTTCCTTTTCAAAGTGGGGCTTTCGCGTTAACGCCGCGAGCGCTCGTCTCAAATATCGAGCAGTTCCCAAGGACGCATCCTTTGTTTTGCAAAAGAGGGGATCTCGCCTCAGCGCTGCGTGCGTTGGAGTTTGTCGTCCCAAACAGTGCTTGCATTTAGGGTTTCTTACTTTCCTCATGAGGAGCTGGGCCTCTGCGCCAGTCCAGCTGGCTTATGGCAGCCCGTCGCCGCCCGTCGGCGCCGTCCGTCGCCGCCCTACATGGTCACGAGTTTGATTGTGCGAGGCTCGCGCTTTGCATTGCGTTGTAGTGGTTTGCATCGCTTGGCATTGCTTGCAGTTACTTTGCGTAGCTTTGCATTGCTTTACATTGCTTTGGATTGCGTTGTCATTGCTTTGCGCTAGTTTGCATTGCATTGCGTCGCATTACGTTGCATTGCTTTGCACTGCGTTCCATTGCTTCGCATTGCTGTGTCTTGTTCTGGATTGCATTGCATGTCGTTGCGTTGCTCGGCGTTGCATTGTTTTGCATTGATCTGCAGTGTTTTGCTTTGCGTTGCATTGCTGTGTATCACGTGGCTTTACATGTCTTTCCATTGCTCTGCACTGTTGTATATTGCTTTGCATGGCCTTACATTGCTTGGCATTGATTTGCATTGCTTGGCATTTCTTTGCGTTGCTTAGCATTGCGTTGAAGTGCCTTGCGTTGTTTTGCGCTGCTTTGCATAGGTCTGCATGACGTAGATCGCACCACATGCATTGCACCACCTAGATCGCACCGCATTGATTGCACCACCTAGATTGCACCGTTACAGTTTGGGGTCCATGCTGCCTAGTCTTGCTTTATATTTGCAAGGCGTTTCGTCAGATGAAGGGCTATTCTTTTTCAAAAAAGCGTTCTCGCGTGAGACTTCTTGATTACCCACCCTGGAACTTCAATGAATGTAGCGCTGCGCGTATCCAGGAAGGCCCTTCTGCAACATGGATGTGTCGCCTGACATCTCTTCGGAAATCATGACGACAAGAGTAAAAACTGAAGCAAAGACTGCACGGACGAGAGGGCGGTCCTTTCTCGAACGGGGAAATCGTGGGGCACCTCGTCGAACTGTCTAGCCATAGGTTCTCGCATTTTAATCTTGCGCCAGACATGTGCAGGGCAATCTCTTCACAAAAAGGGGCCCTCAGCGCAGTCGTTGGTCGCTCATGGCGGTTCAAGCAAAGGGGGCGCCACTAGTAGTGAGAAGGGAAAGTTGTAGGGGTGTATGGGGAGGGGCCTTGGAACGGGAGGGTGTATTGCAGCATCGCTGATGCATCTCTGGTTTACTCTGGTCCTCCTCCTCCTCCACAACTAATCAATCAGAGTACTACTCTCCTCTTTCCCCTTGCTCCGTCCAGAAGATTTGGGGCCCTCTCCGTGTAATGTTTTTTTGCGCACCGGAATTCAAACATTGCTTTCGTATTGTTTTTGTGTTACAATCCGATTGTGTTCAGTGTTGCAAAATTGTTTTGTGTTCCCACTGCAGCGTGGGTCTCATTTTCGGATCGGCGTTTTGCTCCCGTCGTTGATCATGGCGCTCTCGCCGCAGCGCGACCACTTTTCTGGATCTGAGTCTTTCTTCATTGTTGTCGCCCCCCTCATTTCCCGTCCTCCGCCTTCCCCCGGTCCTCTTGTTCTTTCCGTTTTTTCAACTCCAGTTCTTGCTGCTGCTGTTCGTCCTCGTCCTTTTCCTCCCGCCCATCCTCCTGCTCACCCGACACCTCCTTCTCCTCCTCCTGTGCACGCAGCTCCCCTTGTGGCTGGAGATGCAAATCCGCTACGACACGCGTCCGCGGATAGAGAAAAAACAACAAAGTGTAAGGGATGGGAGGGAGTGATCGGATGTCGGATGAGGCGCGAGCGCACCAAGCTTGTCTCCTGCCCCTCTCCCTCCTCCCCTCTCCCTGACCCTGCTTTGCGGGCGAGGCCGAGTGGGTGCTGAACGGCGCCCTGAAGGCGCTGGGCGTGCGCGGCAGCGAGGTGACGGGGCGTCTCCCTGAGCTCGTCGCGAAGCTCGAGGCGGCCCATGCGCACATGGAGGAGGACGCGCGGGCGGGCTCCTCCCCCTCGTCGTCGTCAGCCTCGTCGCCCTCCTCTTCCTCCTCCACCTCCGCCTCATCCTCCTCCTCATCCTCCTCCTCTCCTCCTCCTCCTCCGTCTCCCCCTCCGTCTCCTCCTCCGTCTCCTCCTCCGTCTCCTCCTCCGTCTCCTCCTTCTCGTCCTCCTCGTCCCCCTTCCTCCTCCTCTTCCTCCCCTCCTCCTCCTCCTCCTCTTCGTCCTGGAGGTGGAGTGGGATATGGGATGGAGGTGGATGGGGAGATGGGGAGGAGGGAGGAGTGGAAAGAGGAGGCCGAAGAGGAGGGAGGAGGAGGAGGAGGAGGAGGAGGAGGAGGAGGAGGAGGAGGTGGAGGAGGAGGAGGAGTAAGAGGAGGAGAAGAGGAGGGAGGAGGAAGAGGAGGAGGGGGAGGCGGAGGAGGAGGAGAGGAGGAGAGAGGAGGAGGAGGAGGAGGCGAAGGAGGAGGAGCAGAGGGAGGGAGAAGGAAGAGGGAGGACGAAGAAAGCGAAGGAGGAGGGAGCAGGAGGGAGGTAGGGAGCAGGAGGGAGGAAGACGAAGGAGGAGGAGGAGGAGGAGGAGGAGGAGGAGGAGGGTGAAGCAGGGAGGGGGGGATGAGGAGGGAGGAAGAGGGAGGCCGTGACGATGTTTCCCTAAAGGTGTTTACACTTAGGGGTTCCCACGTATGGTCGAAAGAACTGAGCTTGCGCGGCGGTCCGGCGGCCATGTGGCCGCCGTCGCCGCCCCGTCGCCGCCTCGTCGCCGCACGTTGTCTGGGCCTGCGCGGCGGTCTTGCGGCTATGTGGCCGCCGTATTCGCCCAGTCGCCCCCTCGCCGCCGCCCGCCGCCTCGTCTCTTGTTGCCTTACATTGCTTTGCGTTGTTGTGCAGTGCCTTGCATTGCTCTGCACTGCACTGCATGGTTTTGCGCTAGTTTGCATTGCGTTACGCTGGTTTGCATTGTAGTGCATGGGGTGTGACGTGCTGTACATGCGTTGCTTTACATTGCTTTGCATTAATGTTTGCTTTGTTTGCATCGCATTGCATTGCTGCACTGCGCGTTATATTGGTTTGCATCGCATCGCATTGCGTTGCATGGGCTCGCAGTGCATTGCATTATGTGCTTCCTTGCGGTGTCTTGGCCCGCGTTGTGTTGTATTGCATTGGTGTGCATTGCGTTGCAGTGTATTGCATTGCAGTGCATTGCAATGCTTGGCATGTATTTGCATTGTGGTGCAACTCGTTGCATGACAGTGCAATCGCATGGCGTTGCGTTGCGTTGCATTGCCCTGCATTGCTGCAATACCTTTCAAGGACTGGCGTTGCTCTGTGTGGCGTTGCATTGCTTTGCAAACGCGTTGCATTGCGTGTCAGCGGTTTGCATTGCGTTGCACTGCTCTGCATTAGCTTGCAGTGCTCTGCGTTGATTGCGTTGCATTGATTTGCATTGCTTGTCACAGCATGGATTGCACCGCATGGAACGCACCACCTATAGTGTAACACAGTGGTTGGTCTAACAATCGTGCACCGCTTAGCTTGTGCTGTAAGAAGGACGCAGTGTTCGAGGTCCACGTTGGCTTATTTTGGTTCAAGCATGTTCCTCTGGCACGGTACGCGTGTCGAGGCTGTCTTGTGAGACGCCGCAGTCTTGGTTGAGCCCTTGTAGGAGCTGGTCCAGGAACGCGGGCGGGCCATCTTCCTGAAGTGAGGCGGGTGAAGAGGAGGATGAGGAGGAGGAGGAGGAGGAGGAAGAGGAATCCTCATGGGACGGGGTGGCTCTCTTGGGACCGTGCTGCTTCCCGCTTGCGGCCGCCCCCCTCCCCACGGAGGAGTTGGTGGCCATGAATGCGCGCTTAGGCAAGATGCCCATGAGTGAGTCGCCCTCCACCGAGTTGCTGGCGCTCATGAACACCTACAAGGCTAAGTCGTGGGCGAACGTCGGTAGGAGGAGGAGGAAAGGAGAAACCGAGGAGGAGGAAGAAGAGGAGGATGAGGAGGATGGGGAGGAGGAGGAGGAGGAGGAGGAGGAGGACGAGGTGAGGAGGAGGAGAAGGAGGTGAAGGAGGAGAGGGATGAGGATGGAGTGGGAGAGAGGAGGGGATAAGAGGAGGAGGAGTGAGGAGGAGGTGAGGAGGAGGAGGAGGAGGAGAGGAGGAGGAGGAGGAGGAGGGAAGAGGAGGAGGAGAGGAGGAGAGGAGGAGGAGGAGGAGGAGCTTGAGGAGGAGGAGAGGAGGGGAGGAGGGAGGAGGGGATGGAGGGCGGAGGGAGGAGGAGGAGGAGGAGGAGGAGGAGGAGGAGGAGGAGGCGGAGGAGAGCGGTGCAAGGTGCTCTTCGATGAGCAGTGGATCGGCGAAAGGAGCCCGCCTGCCGCTGGCCTGACGAACGCGGAGATCCGTGCGATCCAGGAGAGCAAGCTTCCTCCTTTCTTCTTTCTATTCCCTTTCTCCCTAACAGAACACCTTTATCCTCCTCCGCCTCCTCCCACGCTCCGCCCACTCCCTCGCTCCACGGCCACCTGTTCCTCCTCCCCGTCCACCCGCTGCTTCTGCAACTTCCTTCCTCATCTTTCTCCTCCTTCTCCTTGTCCTCCTCCCCGTCCCCCCCTCCTCGCCCTCCTCTCTCCCTCCCCCCCTCCCTTCCCAGCACTGGCAATCGAGAGCGAGGTCGCTCGGAAGGTGCCGCCCGAAGGCCGACAGTGGCCGTGGCGCGGTCGACGCACCCGTAATTGTGCAGGCTCGGGTAAGTTACGGCTGACGCCCCTCCCCGCCCTCCTTCTTCCAGGCACCAGGTTCGCTTCGCGCTGTCGGTGGTGGATGAGACATTCTTCTCGAACAAATGTTCTGGCATGGTGTAGCCACCAACCAATCAGTTTGGCAGCTGGGCAGTTTTCACCATCGTCGTTTGATCACTGGCACAAACTAACTCCCTGTCCACCCCTTTCCTCCTTCTGCGGGCGATCCAGGAGAGCGAGTTCCATATGACGGCCCCCAAGATGGCCAGCGAGCTGCTGAAGGCCTGGCGCGAGCATGGGCCCGCGGAGTACCGCGACGAGAAGTTCGACAAGAGGCTGGAGGAGGTCGCCGACATGATCCACTACCCCCCTCAACATGCTCCTCCTTTCCCTCCTCCCCTCCTTCTTCCGCTCCCCCTCCTCCGCCCCCTCCCCCTCCTACCCTCCTCATCTTCCCATCCTCCTCCTCCTCCTCCTCCTTCTCCTCCTCCTCCTCCTCCTCCTCCTCCTCCTCCTCCCATCCTCCCCCTCCCCCTCCACACCTGGAAGATGTTTTCCCTCTCACCACCAGGCGTGTGCGTCGACTGGGCCGGGCGTTCCGCTGGACATTTACCCTGACACTCAAACCGTTTCCAACAGCTACACGACTTGAGGTCCGATCGTTTCCAAATTGTGCCGCTGGCTTTTACAATGCGCACATGTTGCACGGGTTGAGGGCCGCTGGTTTGCCAAGTATGATTTTCGCCTCAGCGCCGCGACCCTGGTCCTGCTGTTCAAAGAGAAAGGATACTACCGATGTCAAGTTTTTGCAAGTGCTATACGGACGGAGACCAGCTCCTCGTCAGCTGGGCATTCTCACCTGACGGTCCGTTGTACTTCACTTCCGGCTAGACAGAAGAACAACAAAACACAAAAAAACGCAAGCTCCAGCGGTCCCTCTGTCAAAGCGGGGCCGTCGCTCATCACCCACCAAACCACCCCAACCCAACCCGAAGGCTGCAAAACTGCCCTCCATTTTCACTGGGGGGGGAGGGGGGTCTGGGAATGTCGAGAAGCCGCATATGAAACCCGCCCCCCGCCCCCCACCCCGAAATCCGGGTCTTCGGGTTGGGTCGGGGTGGTCCAGCGGGCGGTCAGCCGCTGGGCACTTCCCCGAGCCGTCTGCCTCCTCGACTTCCCCGCCGCAGCTCGAGCGGCGGAGGGCGGCTCCCTTCGGAGCGGGGCTCCCGCGCGGCCAGGGGGCCCCTGGGGGCGCTCAGCGGGATGGTGTGCGGGCTCGGGAGACGAGAGGATTCGGGGCGGGAGGGTGTGCTGCAGCCTCGTCTGCGCCTTTGGAGTTGTCCCGGTCCTCGTCGCTGTCGCCCTCCCTTCCCCTTCCACCCCTCCCTCTCCTCCTACCTCCCCCTCTCCCCCCTTTCTCTTGACCCTCCTCCTTCTCCTCCTCTTCCTTACTCATCTTGCCCGAGGAGGAGATGATTGAGGAGGAGGAGGAGGAGGAGGAGGAGGAGGAGGAGGAGGAGGAGGAGGAGGAGGAGGAGGAGGAGGAGGAGGAGGAGTGAGGGAAGAAGAAGAAGAAAAAGATAGAGGAGGATGAGTAGGAGGAGTAGGAGGAAGAGGAGCAAGAGGAGCAAGGAGGAGGAGGAGGATGTAGGAGGATGGGAGGAGGAGGGGATGAGGAGAGCGAGGAGCGAGGAGCGAGGAGAGGAGGAGGAGGAGGAGAGGGGAACCGGAGGAGCAGGATGAGGAGGAGATAGGAGAAACGATCAGGACGAAGGAGGAGGAGGAGGAGGAGGAGGATGAGGAGAAGAGGAGAGGAGGGAGGAGGAGGAGGAGGAGGAGGAGGAGGAGGAGGAGGGATTGCAGGATGAAGATACGGGGGGAGAGCAATGATCCCAGCGTCGGCCCCAAGCGGTGATTCAGTGCAACCTTCGGTGCGCAACCCAAGGCAAGACAAACAAATGCAGAGCAAGAGGGGGAGGAGGAGGAGGAGGAGGAGGAGGAGGAGGAGGAGGAGGAGGAGGAGGAGGAGCAGGGATGGGAGGAGGAGGAGGAGGAGGAGGAGGAGGAGGTGGAGGAGGAGGTGGAGGAGGAGGTGGAGGAGGAGGAGGAGGAGAAGGAGGAGGCAGGAATGGGACTTGGAGGAGGAGGTGTGAGGTGGCCGACATGCTCCACTACCCGCAGGCGAAGCAGTCCCTGAGCATCTCGGGCCACATCTGGCAGCACCTCACCAACGTCTTCATGCTCATGGCGCGGTCCCTGCGGGACCTCATCCAGCGGAGGCCACTAACCTGGAACTTGGGCGCCGTCGGCATCGTGGGCTCCAACCTCTGCAACGCAGCGGCGCGCGAGGCGCGCGAGGACTTCCTTGCGGGGGCCACCAAGGGTCTGCACCTCATGGAGTTCGCCATCAGGTGGGTGCTGGAGAAGCACATGAGGGTCGTGCGCAAGCTCTTCATGGCGATGCCCCGGCACAAGGCCTACTCCGAGGACGCGGCCTTCATGGCGGAGCTCGCCGTAGCGGAGAAGTCGCTCGTCCACGATTGGACGAAGGAGTTCAAGATCGACTACGAGGCGCAGCTCGACAAAGCGACCCTCAATATCCAGCAGTTCAAGATTCAGAGGAAGCTCCACGTCATGGCCAGAGGCCCTGAAAATACCCAGGTGAACAAGGACCGAACAGGGCCCTCGAGGGGGGGGCACACCACGCGGGGGATGCGGTGTCGTAATCACTCCGCCCCGTATTCCCTGCGCCGTCCTCCCCTGCTCCCCCCTTGTTCTGAGGTCCCCCTGCCCCTACGTGCAGCGACACTGGCAAATACAAGGTGAGTGAACCTGCCGGCCGGCTCCTCCTCCTCTTTTTTTCTTCCCTTCCCCAGCGTGAGACTTTGCTGCATATTTGTCGGCGCCGAGGCGCCGCCGCCCCGCCCCTCGTAGGGCCGTCCCGTGTGACGTGGGGGCGCAGTGTCAGTGTCAGTGTGTCCTCAAAACTGTTCTTCGGATCGCTGCACGGGGTTTGGAAGTGAGGGCGAGTTCGGGCGAGGTCCTGAGAACCGTGGGGGTTCTAAGACCCTGTGACCCTGCGGTGTCCTTACTCCCTCTCCCCCCTCCTGCCCCCCTCGTCCCCTATCATTATCCTACTCTTCCTCCTCCTTCTCATCCTCCTCCTCATCATCATCATCAACAATATCATCAACAACATCACCATCATCATCGTCATCATCATCATCGTCTTCAGCATCATCATCATCATCATCATCATCATCATCATCATAATCATCATCATCATCATCATTATCATCATTATCAGTATTACTATCATCACCAGCACCATCCTCATCCTCATCATCATGCTCATCCTCATCCTCATCCTCATCCTCATCCTCCTCATCATTATCATCACCATCGTCCTCATACTCCTCCTCAACATCATTATCATCATCATCGTCCTCCTCATCATGATCATCCTCACCGTCCTCCTCCTCCTCATCATCATCAGACACCACAAGATATCATCATATATCATCATCATAATCATCAGCATACTCGTCATAATCAGCACGCTGATCATCATCAGGATTGGTTTAGCATTTTTAATATGCTATCACTAATAACGTGATCAGCATCAGCGGCATCATCGTCAGAATCGCCATCATCGTGATAATCATCATCGTCATCAGCATCATCATCAGCAGCATCGGCAGCACCGTCACCATCATCATCACTGTCCATCACTGTCCATCACCATCACCATCACCATCACCATCACCATCACCATCACCATCACCATCACCATCATAACAATGATAACGTTGCATCTTCCCTCTACCACCCCCTGGATTATCGGCACTGCAGGCCCCCTTGCATCGTCGCTCCCCGGGCGTAGACATGACTGGCAAGAAGTACCAAGCAGAATCGTAACTTCCAAGCAACATAACTGGGACCGGAAATTTATTTGCGAGGAAGTCCCAAGCGAAATCGCCAATTTCCGTTCGCCACTGAGAATTCCCGGTCGCCTGAAAAGCGTCCGGACATGTTTTTGGAGGAAGTATTAGGCGGAATGCGGATTTCCGGTCGTCACCCCATTTGGCGATTATAATATTAGAGGGGGTGAGGATGGACTGGAAATTTAACCATGGCGGCCCCTGCAACCTTGTACCAGGGCCCCGTGGCCTGACGGGAGCCGAACATCAAGGCTTATTCCCCGACCTCTGCGGTCCGGACTTTTTATTCCAGGGGGTTGTACTCTTGCTCCTGTTCCTCCGCCTTCTCTCTCTCTCTCTCTCTCCATCCATCTGTCTTTCTTTCTTTATTTCTCTCTCTCTCTCTCTCTTTCCCTCCGTCCTCCCCTTCCAGCGGGGCCGTGCGCGAGGACTACCAGATCCAAGTTTGCACAGACGTGCCCGGGGCGGAGGGCCGCGACAGCACGGAGTTCCCTTCCTGCAAGTGCGGCAAGGACGAGGAGAAGGTCTACTGCGGCATCGAGAAGGTCGCCGAGCGCAAGTTCGATGCCGCGCAGGTCAGGAGCCACGTCGCGTGCACCTACAGCCAGCCCTACTGCGCCTCCCAGCCCATGAAGCACGAGCTGCGGGACTTAGCTGTGCTCCTGGACCCCGTGCCGACTTCGGACTGCAGCAAGCTCTACGACGAGCTAGCGGACAGCTCAGTTGACCAGCTCGTGATGTTCTTGGGCACCCAGATGTACTACATGCTGTACGGTACCGAGGAACCCATCCGCAAGAACCCCGATTTCGCTTCGACGATGTATGCCCGCCTCAAGGGCACGAAGACCGAGAACTTCATCGGCAAGGCTTTCCCGAGCATAGGCCAGCGGCAGAGGCTCCTGGACGAGATGGAGAAGAAGAGCGCGAGCATCGCAGACATCGGCCAGGTGCAGGCCTACTTCCAGGACGCCATGGTTAAAGGCAAGACCATGATCGCTCCCTGAGGCGGGCCGGTCCTGAATCCCGGAGCATGGCGGGAACGCCCAGCGCACGGGGCGGCGGGCGTCCTATACACCTTTTGAGTTTATGGAGGAGCGCGCAAGCAAGTACGTGTGCGGTACGGTAGCAGACTAGGGATAGGAGCAGAATCAAGAGTCGGGCTAGCCAGGTCGAGCGCGTCAGAGGGTCCGCCCATTCCCATCCTCCCAAGACAGAAGCTTTGAGACCCAGTGAAGGCGCAACTTGCTATTGGGACTGGCGCGCATTCTCCCTAGCGAGTGGGAGGCGTTCGCGCGCGGCCCCGCTTCCGACGACGTGGCGAGGGCAAAACGCGTGCAGCGCACGGGCCCGAGCAGTTATTCCAGGAAGTCCTGTCCCGTCGCTGCGGCGAGAGCACCATTTAACCCTCTGTCGCGCAGCCAGAGTTTCGGTGAGCGTGGCGAAGACGAAGCAGGTGCCGCGCAGAAGCGGCACCGCCGCTGTTGCAAGGTGCGCGGCGTTGAAGCGAGACCAGCATTTCGCCTGTTCTCGCGGGGCCCCGCTGCTGATGCCGCCTTCCCGCAACTCGGCGCCTGAAGAACGTGCGCCACGTTTGAGCGGGAGCGTTACTTCCAGGCGAATCTGCACGGGGCTCGGGCGAGGGCGACCATTCGTCCAGTCGCGCGTGACCGTGGCCCCCAAGATTTGAATGAAACATATGCGCAGAGCCCGTGCGGGAACGCCACTTTCAGCCAACATCTCATTGTTGACACCAAGACGTCCATGTCGAAAGGGGAAGCGTTGATGTTGTATTGGCTTTTGATGGGTCGGATGGGATGGCCTGGGTGAGTCGCTATCAGTTGGCAGGGTGGCAAAGTGGGAGCGTATACGAATAAGGAAAAAGGAAACAGAGTAGGTGCAGGAGCGGGAAGAGTAGTAAGCGCTGCATGAGTAGAGCTGAAAACAGGAATTGCAGAAGAGTCAGTAGGCTTGGTAGTTTGAGAAGTATTGGTAGTGCTTCTTAGTCGTAATAGTCTCATCCAGAAAAAAGGGGAATGAACGGTAATGGCGGCAGTACGAGTAGAGGTACGGTCAGGAATTTTCGGTTAGCGTGTCGCGCCGCTGGTTCTGGCCCACCGCGCTTCGGCGCGACACGCTACCCACGTTCCCATTTCCGAGCGTCAGCGTCCCACGCCTTTCCTGGTTTCCCACCCGCGGAGCGGTGCGACACGCTACCTTCTCACATGGCATAGCGTGTCGCTGTGGCCGCCGCCGCCGCGAAGAGTTAAGCACAAGTTCCTGACATTAGTAGTCATAATCTCACTCGTAGTCGTAGGAGTAGTAGTAGTAGTAGTAGTAGTAGTAGTAGTAGTAGTAGTAGTAGTAGTAGTAGTAGTAGTAGTAGTAGTAGTAGTAGTAGTAGTGGTAGTGGTAGTGGTAGTGGTAGTAGTAGTAGTAGTAGTAGTAGTAGTAGTAGAATTAGTAGTTGTAGTGACACTCGTAATGGTAGTCGTAGTCGTAGTCGTAGTCGTAGTCGTAGTAGTAGTAGTAGTAGTAGTAGTAGTAGTAGTAGTAGTAGTAGTAGTAGTAGTAGTAGTAGTAGTAGTAGTAGTAGTAGTAGTAGTATGTAGTAGATGTAGTAGTAGTAGTAGTAGTAGTAGTAGTAGTAGTAGTAGTAGTAGTAGTAGTAGGAAGTAGAAGTAGTAGTAGTAGAAGTGTCGTAGCAGTAGTAGTAGTAGTAGTAGTAGTTGTAGTAGTAGTAGTAGTAGTAGTAGTCGTAGAAGTCGTAGTAGCCGTAGAATTAGTAGTAGAAGTAGTAGTAGTAGTAGTAGTAGTAGTAGTAGTATTTGTCGTAGTAGTAGTAGTATTTGTCGTAGTAGTAGTAGTAGTAGTAGTAGTAGTAGTAGTAGTAGTAGTAGAAGAAGTAATAGTAATAGTAGTAGTAGTAGTAGTAGTAGTAGTAGTAGTAGTAGTCGTAGTAGTAGTAGTAGTAGTAGTAGTAGTAGTAGTAGTAGTAGTAGTAGTAGTA